AAAAAATGTGTCACAAATCCCATTGACTGGTGCTGATGGTTGATACGGGTTGCTGCCAGCGTCCTGGGTATCAACCAAGAACCTTCTTAAAATATACGATGTTCCGGTAGCTTTTTGCAGTTCCGCTGGTGTTATTGGAAGAAGCTGCAATTTCTTGATGTGTTTTGTAAAATTCTTGGCCAGGGTACCAAGTGCCCCGATGACCTTGGGTATCACTGTTACATGCTTCATCCATAATCGGGTAGTTTTATTTTATTATTATTATTATTATTAATCGCACAGTCAGCTCAGAGTAGATTTGGAATTTCTCCCCACTAACTGAGTCCTGGGGTTAACCCTAACTTTGCTAAACAGAAGTGAAGTTGACTACCTGTATTCACCTACAGGTAACCCTCAATTTACGACCATAATGGGGGGAGTAAAAGTTCCGTTTCTAAGCAAGGCGGCTGTGGCGTGACTCTCGCGTGGCGTCATCCTTTGCCACTGCCGCTAAGCAAATCACTGAACTTGTTACGTGAATCACACGGCTGTTAAATGAATCGGGCTTCCCCCATTGACTTGTCTTGTCGGAGGCCAGCGGTGTCTGTGTGTCCGTCCTGGGGGGGGGGTGTTCTACAACTGTTGTAACTACACAACAGTTGCCAAGCATCTGGATTTGAATCGGGGAGGCCGCAGCAGTGACAGTGTGATGATTGACAGTGTCAAATTTTTTTCCCCACTGTTGTAATTTCAGGGGCCACTAAAAATCTCATTCATAAAATAATAAATAAAGTGAAAGATTCGGATTCGAACCCCAAACCCACCCCTTCTTTTCTCTGCTTTTAAATTCCGTGCGTGTCCTTTGGAGGCCGATGTTTCATCTTCAGGGGCTGGGAAGAAGGAGCTTCCCTGAGTCCTACTATCAAACGGCGTAATTGCTCTGCTGGGAATTATTGATTTTTCTCCCTTTAAAAAAGCCTCTAATTGAATTCCTTCACGGTGCTCAGCCTCTCTCCCTTCCTCCTCCTCCTCCTTCTTTTCTTCTTTCCCCCCCTCCAGGTTCTGGGGTTTACATCACCCGAGGGCAGCTCATGAATTGCCACCTCTGTGCAGGTGTGAAGCACAAAGTCCTCCTGCGACGCCTCCTGGCCACGTTCTTCGACAGGTAGGGTGGCTGCCCCCCCACCCCCCCTGCCCTCCTCCTCTTCGCCTTTAGACCGGGTTAAAAAAATAAAATGCTTTCCTACCAGTCAGGAAAAGGAAAGTCAGAGCCTTTGTGGGAATCAGAGCAGAGCACAGAAGAAACACTTGGAAAAACCAGGAATGTTTTAAATCGTTTATTTCTAAGTATTCCTTTTTTTATCCCAGCATCATAGCTCAAGGCAGTGAACACATTTCAACACACCTTCCTCCTCCTCCTCCTATTTTCCCCCATAACAACCCTGTGAGGTGGGCTGGGCTGAGAGGGAGAGGGGGGGGGAGGGACTGGCCCAAGTCACCCAGCTGGCTTTTATGCCTTAGGCAGGACTAGAACTCNTGAAGTCCGGACATCTTCAAGTGGCCAAGGTCGAGAAACACTGCTCTACGCCATTTTAGACCTTCTTAAAAGACCTGAAAGTCCGCCCACTGCCAGGAGTTCGATCCTGACCGGATCGAGGCTGACTCGACCTTCCATCCTTCCCGAGGTTGGTCAAAGATCGATTGAGGGCAAGAGGCCGGCTCCGACAACCGCTTAGAGAGGGCTGTGAAAGCGCTATACAAATCTAAGGGCCGTTGCTATCTGGATGTCGATCACCTGATCGTGGAGATCATCCTAAGTGGTGGAAAACGGCCCTAAGCCACTTTTTTCACTGTTGCAAGCGGAGGATTGCCTGCGTTCAATTCAACCAAGCGTTTCCCTCCTTCCCTCCCTCTTCTCCTCCCTCCCCCCAGAAGATGCGCTTTCTGTTGGATGCTGTCGCCGCGCTGAATGCGTAAGGACGGGCCGAGAAATGTCCCAGATGCTGCACATCGAGATCCCCAATTTCGGGAACACCGTGCTGGGCTCCCTGAACGAGCAGCGCCTGCTGGGCCTCTACTGCGATGTCTCCATCGTGGTCAAGGGCCAGGCCTTCAAGGCCCACCGGGCGGTGCTGGCCGCCAGCAGCCTCTACTTCCGGGACCTCTTTAGCGGGAACAGCAAAAGCGCCTTCGAGCTGCCCAGCTCGGTGCCGGCTACGTGCTTCCAGCAGATCCTCTCCTTTTGCTACACGGGGAAGCTGACCATGGCGGCCAGCGAGCAGCTGGTGGTGATGTACACGGCGGGCTTCCTGCAGATCCAGCACATTGTGGAGAAAGGGACGGATTTGATGTTCAAAGTCAGCTCCCCGCACTGTGACTCTCAAACGGCCATGACCGAAGAGGCTGGCGGCTCGGAGCCCCAGAGCCCCTGCAACCCCGTGCAGATGCCCTCCATGCCTTACGTCATGTCCCCTTCGCTGCCCATCCCGCTCCTCACCCGGGTCAAGCACGAGAACCTGGAGCAGCAGGCGCCGCTGCCGGCCAAGCGGGCCTTGGAGGGGGGCCTGCGCGACGCGGCGGCGGGGGGCTCCTCCAGCACCACGGCGGTGAAGCTGTCCCGCGTCTCCTACTACGGGGTGCCCAGCCTCGGCCCGCTCATCTCCAGCATCCCGCAGGCGCCGTACGGCCAGGGGGAGCGGACGAGTCCCGGGGCCAGTAGCATCCCAACCACGGACAGCCCCACGTCGTACCACAACGAAGAGGATGAGGAAGATGACGAAGCCTACGACACCATGGCGGAAGAGCAATACGGGCAGATGTACATCAAGTCCACGGGGGGCTACGCAGGTAACCCTCTCCTCTTTACCTTCCCCCTTGTTACTAACAGAATAACAGAGTCGGGAGGGACCTTGGAGGTCTCCTAGTCCAACCCCCTGCTCAGGCAGGAGACAGTGTACCATTTGAGACCTTCTTCTTCTTGGAAACCTCCAGTGATGGAGATTCCACAACTTCTGGAGGCAACTTCTGTTCCACTGGTTGGTTGTTATAATTGTCAGAAAATTCCTCCTCAGTTCTAGCTTGCTTCTCTCCTTGGTTAGTTTCCACCCGTTGCTTCTTGCTTTGGAGAACAGGCGGACCCCCTTCTTCTTGGGGGGGGGCTCTGCCTGTTGGGGGGAGATGGATTTGGAGTTTTTGATGATCATTGTCCAATCTCGGTGGTGGTGGTTCTCCTCCTCCTCCTCCTCCTCCTCCTCATTTTTTTCTTTCCTCCTCCTCCTTCTTCCTTCTTTTCCTCCTCCTCCTCCTTTTCTTTATCTTCTTCTTCTTCTTCTTCTTCTTCTTCTTCTTCTCCTCCTCCTCCTCCTCCTTTCCTTCTCCTCCTCTTTTTCTTTCTTCTTTTCTTCCTCCTTTTCTTTCTTCTTCTCCTTTTCTTTCTTTCCTTCTCCTTTTCTTTCTTTCTTTTCTTCTTCTCCTCCTCCTCCTCCTCCTTTCCTTCTCCTCCTCTT